CGGTATAAGTGTGTCATGGTATCCATTCTGTCGAACGTCAGAATGGGATTTGTAATGCCGCGAGATGTATGCATGTACTGGACAACACCAGCCATTCGCTCCATCCATGCGCCAATTGCACAGATCTGCTCTGTTGCTCGCTCCATCATATTTAAAAACCTTGATGACTTTCCCGCTCTACCCGCCACGGCGGTGGCATGACGTCCTGTGGTTCCACCTGCTGAGCCGTCATCCCATCCTACCTATAGAGCAAAGCACGCATCGATACTACCTGGTCGTCGAGGCAGAAAACCTGCTCTCGCATGTATCCCTCGGTCTTGAGAATTCATCATTATTCGTAGAGAAACCAGCAAGTAAGTCGCGCATCGTGTCATTGATCATCATCATCTGGTCTCTATCGACGACCCAGACTTTAAGGTATTCTGAATTGATCTCAACAGTATGAACGAGCACGTAAAGGCAAGGGTAAGAGTAGTTATCTAGTCCAGAGATAGGCTAACGCTACACAGAATAAACTTTATCTCGCCATCAGTCCGCTAGGTGCCCTGTGTGCTCAACCTGCTGCTGGCGGAATCGAATTGAATATGTACGAAAAGATGTCAGTGCCAGACCATGCACCTTTGATGTAATTTGGGACCCCTCTGCGAACACCAAGTCCAGACATTGGACAACCAAATTGACACGATCTCGTGTGGCTCGGTCGATGCATCCATCGGTGGCTTCTGGCGAACCAAAGGAGACGCTCAGCAACGGGCGAAGATGGACTGCGCGAAAAGCGTGTACGTGTCGGCGTGGTTGAGGTTCTGAGCGGGCGTGAGGCTGCGGACGAAATCGAATCCATAGCCTCCGTAGTCTTCAGTGCCCGCGATCTCGGTCAGATGAGTCATCTCGTGGAGGATGGTCGTCTGCTGATCCTGAGCATGGCACCTCTTGTCGGTGGGAGGCATTTGGTCGAAGAAGATGCGGCAGTTGACCATGAAGCTCTGCGAAGGCAGAGTATACGCGATCACGCCCGTGCGGCAGGCATTGTAGACGTCGGTGCAGTGGTAGCTGGACACACCCGACGTCGTGCTGCTACACTCCTTCTCAATGCGGCCGAACACGGTGGACACCTGCTTGCTGACTCTGGCGCTCGAACTCTTGAAGTACTTTTGCAGGCGGCTCTTCGACGATGAGTTGGTGTTTTGGGCAGCCGTTCTGGCAGCTGTGGCCAGCTTGGCGCAGTTCTGGATCGCTGTCGTCGTCACAGCACGGCGAGTTCCAGTACAGTCGCCTGCGAGGTTGGTCCGCTTGGCTTTCGACTGGAATGTGTGGTGCACAGTGGCGGCCTCGGATCCGTTGACAACAGTGCTCAGAACGTTACTGGAATATGGGAGG